AAGGCAAAGCACAGACTCGAATCCACTGGCCCTGCAGCTCCTACAGTACTTGCTCTCTTGGTGCAGGGTGCGTGGGGCTCAGTAAGTCTGCTTGCCTGGCTCAGAGAGCCTGCTCACCCAGCCCCCAGCTGGAGAAGTCCCTGGGCCGCTCAGTCCAGATCTCCTCTCTGCTGCCACAGTGACTCAGTCTGTAATGTCCGCGGGGTCTTTGTTCTCGCGTCCCGCTCTCCGGGACTGGATGGGGCCTACCTGGCTCTGTGAGCGCGTTTCAGCTGGGAATGGTGGTGGTATGCATCCAGCCCAAACTCGGACCCAGGAGCCCTGCCACTCCCGGAGAACTTGCTCAGAATAGGGGAGTCTTGAAGTGGAGAAAAGAAGCAGCTGCCTGTGTTTCTGACCACGTGGATCCCTCCCACTGATGATCTTGTGTGTTTATGTGTTTAGTTCTTGCAGCAGTGTCTGCGTAGTGCCTGTTCCTCATCTGCTTGGTGAGCAAACAAAATGTCCGTAGTGTTAAGAACTGACAACAATCACAGTTACAACATTACTCTGTACTTAATCCCATAATAATGCACACTGTGGGATTTTTGTTGGAGCCACTAAGCCTCTGTGACAGACAGAGGATTATAAGTGAGTGGAACCCATCAAGACATCACCAAAGAGGCTGAAGGACCTGTGGTAGCAGTGTGCGTGTAAGGTCTATATAACTGGCCAGTGAGAAGGAGACACTTTTAGAAAGAAATGTAATGGTTTCTAGACTCAGAGTTGCTCCTGTACTATGCCACAAGATTCAATATATTTGTTGTTCATTAAAGAGAGAACAGAGAGCATGCTGTGGTTTTAGGTTGGCAAATAATATAAGAAGGGCAGTGCCTTAGGAAGAATAGTTCACTGGTAACACACAAAATTGCATGGCATAGGAGAATCCAGTGCTAGGAGCCATAAAGCTAATCCAAATTTAGTCATTAAGAGCCAGAATGAAATAAATTCATAAGAAGAGGATGAGAATTAGACAAGAAAGCAGTCCAGAGATAATTTGAGGTAGAAGGTAGTATGTAATGATAAGTAGGGACATGGATTTCTTAAAGCCAGAATGCACCATTCCTTGAAGACTCTTCAGTACCACACTTCCCAGGAAACACGTTGGAAGGGGTGGGAGCACCCAGAGAGGAGCTGGGCACTCCACTTGGGAGTTTTCATATCCAAAGGGCTAAAAATCCCTCAGGGTTTAGGGCTGCAGTTCTTTGTTCCAGAAGCATTTAAGGGGAGGTAGCCAGCATCAATGTCTGTTCCTTTTATCTTTCTTTTCCACTGGCTTATAGTAAAACAGTTGTGCTTGCTCACCCTGGTTACAAGATTCTGGTACCTTATGACCCTCTTTTGAAATAATTGAAGCTAAAACTTTCAGTTTAGCACAAGGCAATTCAACCTCTCAAAGCTCTTCCAGGCATATTTATTTTTATTTATTTCTTCTTCATGCTCTGATTTGTGAACCTGTTAAATACAGGTCTATATCTGAGCCAGATATCCACTTGCTACTGCTCTCAAGCAGGGACCAGAAGATGGATCTGGTTTTCCCAGGAGCCTCATCACTGATGTCATCAGATCTTAGCCTCCAGTGAGCATTGTCTTGCTTGCCACAAACAAATAGCAACAATGTTAAAAACAGACAAGCTGGCGTTATACATAAATTATTGACCAGGTTTGGGGTAGTAAAAACCCTTTAATGAGCACATTTTTCTTAGAAGTAACTAAGACTGGAGAACAAACATGTCAGTGGATCAAATCCTTTTCTGGGGACTGCAAAGAATACTTGGGTAAGATATGTATTAGCACCAGTGATTCATGGTACCTCTTAGTCTAGTGTCTGCAGGAGTGAGACCAATCTTACAGCGTGTCCTCAAAGACCTTGAGAATTCATTTAGCTCATGTTGCTCAGGACTTAGATAGTGATGGAGCTTTTTCTCCAAGAGTTCTCCATGATCTCAGGGTCTCTTTCTATTAACTCAAGGTTATGCTTTCTTTCTTCTCCCCAAACTGGCACCAGTGGCTATGTTTCCACAAGGGAGATGCAGGAAAATTGAATGACTGTGTTCATCATCCTTAATATTTTAGAACTATTCTCATTAATCCCTTTCCCTATAAGAGACAACACTGATACTCAGAGTCTTTATTTTAAATTTTGTGTGCCTCCTTTTTCAACCTGCAATAAGTAGTTACAATTTGGGGATTTTGTCTCTTAATGGAAAAGTAAAAAGCAAATGATTTTTATTATTTTTCTCCATCTGCTCCCCCTCCTTTAAAATGAAAGCAAGGAACAGAGACGTAAACATGACAGTCAGTGCTATTCTGTTTTGCTGCCTTTATTCTGCACCGCCCTAAGTCAGAAAATGGTTACAGGCAGTGATAGCCCAAAGGCATTTTTTGAAATTCCATTAGTTTCAATTACAAGTGACAAATATCTCCCATGGGGTTATACACTAGTGGTTTTAATCAGTTATTCCAGGCAAGTGTCAAGAGAGCACAAGGAAATTTAATTGAATACTGAAAAACTCACACTTTGGTTTCTCTGGATGGAAACTACAAATTTGAACACTAAGGGCAAGGTTGTGGCCTCTGTCCAATTTCTGAGCAAATTATTCCTGTTGGACAGGGCAGGTTTGACTCTTAGCACCAATATTACACTAGTGTTGGAGGGAGATGGAACATTTTGGGTGACATAGATGAAGATATTGCTTATCAGTTCAAAAAAAACAAACCTAGTATACATGTGGGAGAAATTAACAGGATAATCAGAGTCTTAAAACCATAGTTTGTAGGGAAAAGTTGAAGAAACAAAGACTAGTTAGCTGATAAAAGACAAAATCATTACATTTTAGAGCTGAGAGAGAAACCTCAAGCATCATCAGTCAACTCCTTTCTTTGTGCACATGAAATTGTAAGGACTTAAATCATGAAAGTCACAGAGCTAATTTGATGCGATGCAGAGACTAGAACCCAAGTCATCTGACCCACAAGCCCCTGTGCTCCTTTTGCATGGCCAGCTGACAGCCCCTGTCCTTCCCTCTCTCAAGAAGCGTAAATAACATAAGACCATAAAGTGGTCAGCATAGAGCCTGGCAAATACAGACAACCACTAAGTGTTAATTCCTCTTCTCAGCGGTGTGCTTTCTACCATGACAACCACTAAGCAAAAAGAAGACCGTGGCTGGAGTTGATAGTCATTTAAAAATAAATATCCATACATATGTTCTCAGAAGACTAGTGGAGGACACAGGAAAATAATCATAAATTCATATATTACTGAAACATAAAGGGAAAATGAAGTGGGGGAAAACCTTTCTAATGAATGCAGTCATCTAACAGTATAAAAGGCTATGCTGAGAACTGAATTTCTCATCACGGGCTGTATTCAAGTGAGCCAGGTGGCAATCAATGCGAGATCCCTCCAGAATTTCTTAATGAATGGGAGCCAGCATTGAATTACCTATACGAGTCTGCTTTTAACCTGCTGGCAATAGGAAGGAGGAAAATTGAGTATCCAGGGCAGTGTTTAGGAAGATTCATCTGATAGCAGTAGCAAATAAGGATGGCAGTGCTAACAGGAAGCTAACTGGAAACTGTAATGTTTTGAACCATGGACATAAAATCACAGAAAGATAAATGCTGGACCAACCAAAAATGATACAAAGTTTTAATCTGCATTTTTTCACCTCTCCTCACAAAACTGTTTACACAGAGTCATGAGGCTCCTGAGAATTCTGTTCCTGGCCAAGCTCTTTAAAATATCTCATAATTGGGGCTGGGGATTTAGCTCAGTGGCAAAGTGCCTGCCTGGCAAGCACAAGGTCGTGAGTTCGGTTCCCGGTACCAGAGAAAAACCAAAAAAAAATAAAATAAAATAAAAAAATAAAATATCTCATAATTGGTGCTTCTGCCAATGCCGGTGGCCACGTGGCAAGGGGACTAAATGCTGGAGGTGCTGAAAACAGGGTAAAAAGCAGCTCAGAAACAGACTGTATTCTGCTGAGATGCAGCATACCTTTCTCATTAGCATTTCTTCTCTCCTTAGGTTATGTGGACATTGGTCTCATTCCCAAAGGAGCAAGGGACATAAGGGTAACGGAAGTCAAAGGAGCTGGGAACTTCCTGGCCATCAGGAGTGAAGACCCCGAGAAATATTATCTCAATGGAGGATTTATTATCCAGTGGAATGGGAACTATAAGCTGGCTGGGACCGTCTTTCAGTACGACAGGAAAGGGGACCTGGAGAAATTGGTGGCCCCAGGCCCCACCAACGAGTCAGTGTGGCTCCAGGTAACATAGCCGGGAAGGGAACTGCTGACACGTGTTAGCAACTTTCAATTTCTTTTGTAAAGTATTTACTAAGGGACATTAAATAAGAGTTATTAAAATTTCTTTTAGCAAGGCCAGGAGTTTAGCTCAGTGGCACAGCTCCTGCCCTGCAAGTGCAAGGTCGTGAGCTCGATCCCTGGTATCAGAAAAAAAATATATATATATATTGTTTTAGCTAAGAACAAGGAAGGGAATGAAATATTTGTGTTGCTCATCTTTTATTGCCTAGAAATTGCTGAAACTCCCAGAATAAATTCTGTATATCCAAAGTGTACCATTAAAAAAAATCCTAAAATAAAAGAGCCTGAAGTTGAAAAAAATGCCAGAGGCTCTAAAACTACCCATTGAAAGTTTGTGTTGCTTCTGGGCTGATTTGTTTGAGGGTAGTTCTTCTTCGGGTACGTAAAGGATGCCGTCAGCCTATTGTCAGTGTGGCATGAATTTCCAAGTAGCTTCTCCACACTCGGGATTACCGACAAGCTGTCAAGCGGTTGTCCTCAACAAAAGTTTTGCCTTGGGGAAGCTCTTAGAGGGAGGAGGCGTTGAGGTGCAGTGTGTGCTCTTCAAAAACACACAAGTTTTGTCTTAAACACTGAGCACAAAACTACAAAACATGTGGAATGATTATACTACTCTAGGTAAGGCAGATTGGGGGTGACCATGGCTCAAGAGACTTAGACCCATCCATATTCAACCATTAGAAGGAGGTTCTATCAGAATCGGAGGCTGGAGCATTCACAAAAGCAGAGATTGGGATTGGCAGCTGTGGTCCATGAATGTCGAAAGATCTTGTATCTATCTGCCCTGCCCACAAGGGCAAGGATTTACCAGTAGGAACCCCAACCCCAGGAGCAATCACTCTATCACCTCTAAATTCAGGATGAATTAATTTTAAATGTGTGGTAAGTGCATTGCCTGAGAATGAAGTGAAGAATGACACACCTTAGCTAAACCTTATTACCAGGTTTACCCCAGAACAGCTATACAGTAAAGGAGCTAATCAGCCTTACCACTAGGAAAGAGAATCATAAGACATCACAATAAAATTAATAAATTCAATAATAAATTTATTGAGTTTGAATTTCATCTCATGTTCTAATCGTTTTGTACATATTTATTCATGTAGCCCTTGTGATGACCCCACCAGTAGGTAGTACTATTATCCTCACTGAGTACATGGAACAATTAGGGCACTTACCTATATTCACAAGGTGGAAAGGACATAAGGACTCAAGGTAACCTATCAGCTGGTTGTTGAAAAGGACACTCCTTGGCATTCCCTCAAAGTAATGCCCACATGATTAGACATTCCTGTTTATAGGACTGAAAATTCCTGGGGGAAACTAAGCCAAGAAATAACAGAATGGAGAATATATAGATATAGAAAGAGGTAAAGGCAGATACAGAGGCAGAGGTAGATATACAAACATTGACACAGATGTAGACCCTTTAATGGTATCTTTTCAGTGCATGCGACTACTTGTGGATGATGGATACTTGTGTAGCCTTTCACAGGACTGAGGTTTTTAGTCTTCAGACATGACAGAGTTTAATGTGACCCCTCTCTTATCTTTTAGCTCTTATTCCAGGTGACTAACCCTGGTGTCAAGTATGAGTACATAATCCAAAAAGATGGTCTTGACAATGACGTGGAGCAGCTGGTGTATTTCTGGCAATTTGGCCGCTGGACAGAGTGCAGCGTAACGTGTGGAACGGGTAAGAGACAGCTGCTTGCTCTAGAAATCCATCCCGGCTCCCTGAAGTGAGCTGGAGCAGAACAAGGGCAAGGGTTTGCAGTCTGTGGACGTGGTTCTTCAGAGTCCCGCAGGGATGGGGCCTGGACCGGGGAAGGGAGGCCGGCTTAAAGGGAGCGGACCTTGTTCTTGCATCTCTTCGGCTACCCTGAGTCTTGTGGCTTCCCTCTCACATGCTTGGACTCTGTGCAGCCCGGTCACTCACTTCCCTAGCCCAGGACCTAGCTGTGGAAAGAGGCCCAGTAACAAGAAGCTGAATCATGTCCCATTAGTGGTTTTTACATTATTAACTTCTTTCTTTCCCTAATTTAGCATGTAAAACCATACTTAGCTTTTATGAGTCCCAAGAATAAGATGTCTGTTTTGAAGCCTATTGAGTGTGGGAAATGCTAAACCTCCGGAAGCCGATGCAGGTCAGAAGAGGAGTCTGCGGCCACGGCCGTAGTTGTGTTGGGAGGAGAATGGCTCCTGTAGTGCCCACCACTGCCCCTGGCATCTCCAGTTCCACTACCCTGTCCTGGCCCACTGCGCAGAGAAGCAAAGGCAATTTTAGCAGAAAATAGTCAGTGAAAATACTTCCGCAGAGTAGCTTTTGTGAGGAAAATGAAGTCACTGTGGATGCAGTTAACAAGTACTTTTTCAGCTGATAACCTGCCCCCTCTTGTTCTCATCGTTCAATGAAGTGCAAGCTAAGGTTAAAATTTTGTCCCAGGACACCACAGAGTAAAACTTAGGCGATGCTGACTAGACAGAGACTTCTCCAAAACTAGAACAGCTTTCCCACTCTTCTTCAAGACAGGATGACTTTTTACTTAGTGCACAATATTTCAAAGCATTGGCAGTAAAGAAATGTGACTAATTTTTTCAGTGAACATAAACCATCTGAAGTTACCTAGAAAGCTGAACAACCTGCCAATGTGAATTAGATATTGGTTTTGTTACAACCTGACCCTGCAGCAGTACCTCTACCCACCTGGGTAAATGTCATTCTGATTGTTAAACCTTAAAGGGAATCATCATAAAGTTCACAAGCCTACATGACCGTCAGCCACACTGCCTGTTTGAGGTACAGTGAACTCTTGCTCTTGCAAAGAAAAAGATGGAATATCTATTTTAATACAAACAGAGAGGCTGAAGTACTAATATTCACACAAAGGTGTGCCTTTGGAAAATAAAGATGGAAAAGTGCCTGGATCACTGAATCACTCAGTGATAAAGTGTGTGGTGTGTGTGTGTGTGTGTGAGAGAGAGAGAGAGAGAGAGAGAGAGAGAGAGAGAGGGAGAGAAAGAGAGATTAGAAATTGAACACAGGGCCTCTGTGAACTGTATCTTTAGAATTTTTAAAAAATTTACAGACAGGCTGTTACTAAGTTGCTAAGATGCTCAGGCTGGGCTTGAACTTGCAGTCCTCGTGCCTCACACTCCCTGAATGCTGGAATTATAGAAATGCACCACCACACCTGGCTTGGATTTTTATTTTAAATTAAAACTTTCTATACTGTAAAGTAAATTAAACACATTACTGAAAAAAATGAAAAATAAAATCCTCACCCTAACACCTAACAGATACACTTAGGTACTTTGTACAACTGCTCTGTTTTACACTTTCGGAACAGGACTCAATATTGCACTAGACAGTGACCATTGCATTATAAAATAGGCTTTGTGATAGATGACTTTGCCCATCTGTAAGCTAAAATAAGTGTTATGAGCACATTTAGGTAGGTTAGGCTAAGCTACGATGTTTAGTAGGGTAAGTATATTAAGTGCACTTTTGACTTATGATATTTTCTATTTACCAATGGTTCTATCAGGACTTAACTCTCATCATACGCCAAGGAGCATCTTATACAATTGTGCACAAAAGGACCTATTTATGTACATATACATGTATGTTCTCACTTAGAATCACAGCAGTGATGTAGACATACTTCTTCATCTTTATTTTACAATCTTTATAGCTACCCTTTAATGGATGCCTTATATTTTGCTGTAAACAAAAGGCAAAAATTTCCTAACCAATTCCTCATTTTTGTTCTTCAGATGAACTGTGTAAAGTGTAATCTTCTCAGTTTTCATTTTTATGTAAAATTTTAAGGCACAAGGAACATAAATATTATGGCACTATTAAAAAACTTATTGCTAAATTGATTTCCATAATAAAAAGGTAAACAAACAGATAGGAGCAATCATTTTTATTTTTGTATTATTTCAGTTTGAAAGTTTTTAATGGGAACATTTCAAATACTGTATTTTTCACAGAAAAGTAGAGACTAGAATGACATTCCTCTGTACCAAGCACTCAGCTTTATCAGATCTTATCTTTGTGTCATGTTTGTTTCAACTTTTCTTTTTTTTTTTTTTTTTTTTTTTTTTTTTTTTTTTTTTTTTTTTTTTTTTTTTTTTTTTTTGGTTTTTCTCCGGTACCAGGAACCGAACTCACGACCTTGCGCTTGCCAGGCAGGCACTTTGCCGCTGAGCTAAATCCCCAGCCCCTCAACTTTTCTTTTTAAAAAAGTAAAACACAATTACTATTTGGGAGCACCCTCAACTTTATTTCCTTCCTACTTTCCCCAGAGTTAAATAAGGTTATGAAACTAGCATTTATTATTCTCATATATGTTTTTACCTATTTTTATTATACACAAAAAAATGCACATTATAATATTGTTTCTCAGAAATTTAAGTTTTCTACAAGTAGTGTCATATTTTGTATGTTATTCCTTACTTTGTTTACTAAACAGTATGCCTCTGAGATAAAAGTAACTATTCACTGTGAGGCTGCATACAAGTCTGTTATATGAATATATTAAAATTTATTAATACATTCTACTATTTTATAATAGTCATTTCTGTGGTGCTACAAAGAATGCCTTACAATTATTAGCCTTATTATCGCAATATTTGAGCTTCCTAAATATGTTTATGTAGAAGCAGAATTCACAGATCATATAGTCTTGTGCATAAGATGTGAGTGAACCAGTGAATTTACAGGAGTATTGTAGAATAGTTTAAAGTTTTCAGAGGAACAAAAACACTTTAAAGGGGAACACAGCAATACTTAACGTCTCTGGGACACCTCATGAGCTACAAATTCAAGGTAGCTCATAGTTTCAAGGGTAGATCACATGTACGCCCTTCAGTGACACCCTACCCATGACACTGGATTCGCAGTGTTGTTATGATTAAAAATAAATGAAATGCTGGCTGAAAATCAATGTGGAACAAGAAAAATGATGTCTGTCTCATCTCAAGATTTGAAAAGTTGTGTAGTATTCAGTAGATGGCCACATCTTATTAATGAGTTACCTTGAAATTAAAATGCTATTTCATCTTTCCACCTATGCATATGATTTTCCCAGCCTGATACTAAGTTATTAGGCCATAAATATTTATTAAGTTGAGACATATTTATTTATTTATTTATTTTTTTATTTTTTTATTTTTTTTGGTTTTTTCTCTGGTACCGGGAACCGAACTCACGACCTTGCGCTTGCCAGGCAGGCGCTTTGCCGCTGAGCTAAATCCCCAGCCCCCAAGACATATTTAATGAATGGAACTGTTAAGTAATTTATTTGACTTAGAGACACCATAAAAAATTACAGACATCCCATGGGTATGGTGAACTAACTGGGAAGCCTCTGCTCTAGTCATCAGCTTGTCTTTTAACTTTGTGTACTTTTCTCATATTTACATTAAGCAGAAACCAGGCTGAGAAGACATGTTGAATGTTAATGTAAGCAATTTTGACAACTTTTCTTTATTGCTTGTGCTTTTGATGTTAATCATAACTGACAACACTTTCCTATCTTAAAGGTATGATCCTATATTTTCTTCCAAAAGTTTCAGATTTTACTTAAGGAGTTTAAGCTCCCAAAATTTACTTTGTGAATAGTATAAAGTATTATCATGTCCTTTTGAACCACTAGTCATTCCAACAGTATTTATTGAATAACACACCCCCTCTTCATTGACATTTATGTGATTCACTTGTATGTATGGTACGCTTGTATGTATGTATGTTTGCATTTATGTAATTTGCTTATTTCCAGGATCTTATTCTGTTTCGTTCATCCAGTTCTCTAATTTCTTTTGCTTTATATACAGTAAGTGTTAGTATAAAACTCACCATCTAGTTTTGTTCTCCTTAAAATCTTGCCTGTTCTTGAAGTTTGCTTACTCATTAAATGTTAGGGTCACTTTGTCAAATTCCAAGAAAATCCCTACTAGGATATTAATTGGAATTGCATTTAAGTTGAGACATATTTAATGAATGGAACTGTTAAGTAATTTATTTGACTTAGAGACACCATAAAAAATTACAGAAACCCCAGGGGTATGGTGAACTAAGTGGGAATGGTGAACTAACTTCATCTATTTATAGGGTTTTTTAAAGTGAGGTTTGATATCTTTAAAACCATGAGTCTTTATCCATCTAACTTATTCAATCTTTACAATCATTTGTTGGTTTCTCTTTAGTGATATACATACATGCTGTTGATTTTTATGTTACAGTTTTGTCTCTACAGCCTTTCTGTACTTTAATAGTTGTCAATCTGTCTGAAGAATTCTTGAATCTTTATACTGTTTACTTATAAGGAAATTTTTCTATCTACCCAGATATGCTGTTGCTGTTGTTTTTCTGGATTTGTTGCATTAACTGAGGCCTTTAACTGTGCTGAGTGGGCTAGACTATAATAGATGGTAAGGGGCATTCATGCGGAATGCTTCAGATAGTCTTCAGTGGGACGTGAATCACCTTTTATTCCTTATTTATTACATCATTATTATAAATGAGCATTGAATTTGCCCAACATTTTTCACATCTACTGACATGACTTTATGGGTTTTTTTCTAATTGTGCTAGTCTGATTATTCCATGAGTAGGTTCTCTACTGTCAAACTCTACTGTCATTCATTAGATAAGATAATGTTTACTTAATATGAAATAAATTTTACACA